ATAGGTCCCTGGGGAGTCGAGGTGTTGCAGGATGTAATGCAGTGCCATGTTCACTGCATCGTCCACTGACCTGTTTGCCCGATAGGTGAACTGCAGGGGGTCCAGCAGGGGGTCTACAATGTCCTTCAGGTGGGCCGACACCAGTCTTTCAAAGGACTTCATAACTACAGATGTCAGGGCGACAGGTCTGTAGTCGTTCAGTCCACTAATGGAGGTTTTCTTGGGGACTGGGATGATGGTGGAGCATTTGAAGCAGGAGGGGACTTCACACAGCTCCAGTAACCTGTTGAAGATGAATGTGAAGATGGGGGCCAACTGATCAGCGCACACTTTCAAGCAGGAGGGGGTCACACCGTCTGGGTTTGGTGTCTTTCTGATCTTTTGTCTTTTAAAGAGGCCACGCACATCCTTTTCACAGATCATTAGAGGTGGGGGGCTGGAGGGAAGGGTGGTGGTTGAAGGGGGGGCAGCTGCTGGATCTGAGGTGGGGAGGGTGAGGGGGGAGTGTTGGCTGTCAAACCTGCAGTAGAACACATTCTCTGTATTTTTCAGCATTAATGGAGCCATCACAGAAGTGGAAGTTACCTTTGCCAAGGGCACTGACACAACCCCAGACCATGACAGACTCTGGCTTTTGGATTTGTTGCTGGTAACAGTCTGAATGGTCCTTTTCATCTGTGGTCTGGAGCACACAACATCCATTCCTTCCAAAAATACTGATTTGTCTGACCACAGCAACCGATTCCACTGTGTGATGATCCATCCCAGACACCTCTGAGCCCAGAGCAGTCAACTGGGTTTCTGGACACTGTTGACATGGAGCTTCCTTTTGGCACAGTACAGTTTTAAGCTGCGTTTATGAATTGTGGTGCCTGACACAGTTGTGCCAAAATGATCCTGAGCCCATGTGGTTATATCACTTATAGAAGAGTGACGATTCTTGATGCAGTGCTGTCTGAGGGATCAGAGAGCACGGTCATCCAGCTTAGACCTGTGCCTTTGCCCTTTACACACTGAAATCCCTCCAGATTCCTTGAATCTTTTAATGATGTTCTGCACTGTAGAGGGTGACATGTCCAAATCCCTTCCTATCTTTCTCTGAAAAACATTGTTTTTAAACATTTCAATAATTTCCTCACACATGTTGGCAAACTGGCGTTCCTCGGCCCATCTTTGCTCCTAAAGGCTCGGCCTTTCCTGGATGCCACTTTTGTACCAAATCACAACTGTAATCACCTGTTTCAAATGGAATCATCATTTCATTGTTTTACCTCATTACTGGCCCTGAAATGCAACCATCCCAACTTTTTTGGAATGTGTTGCAGCATCAGAATTGAAATGAGTATTTATTCTGAATAAAAAATAAAACTGATGAGTATCACATGAAATAATGTGATACTTTATTGTTTTCAGTGTAATACAGGACTGTCAGGTCCGCTCGGTGCGGCCTGCCTTCCATCTGCCTTTCTTTCTCCTGCTCTCTCCTCCTGCGGGAACGGCACCTCAGCTGTGTTGCATTTGGTAATGAGTGACTCGTTTGTCGGTGCGCACAGCTGAGGTGCATTCCTGTGATTACCTGCTCCTTTATTTAAACCTCTGGCAGACGCTTCGTCTTGGCTGGAGCATTATATGCATCTACTGAAATACCTGTAGCCATACCTGTATTCATGGTATGTGTCATATGTTTCTAGACTTCCACGCTGACACAGTTCCTGTGCTGTGGATTTCTTTGGTATGTTTTCATGTGTTTAGCCATGCGTAAGTTGATTTGTTTTGTTTTGTTTGCTACTCTGCTTCCCTGCATACGTTCACTAGTCCTCCTGGTTATTCTGTCTACTCACCTGTCCGTTCTGGTCCTCTGACTCTCCTGGTTCCTGCCGTTATCCTGTCTACCATAACAAGGACAGATGATTTACATATCACTATTTTCAGTTTTAATTTTGATTTTACATACCATACCAACTTTTTCTGATTTGGGGTTGTATATGTTGTTACAAACATTGCAATTTAATGTTTAATCTTGGGTACCTCTAGATTAGCTTTACACCCATCATAACTCCAAGTAGTCTGTAATTATTTCAGAATGATAAAACCAGAGAGCCTCTTTATTAAAAAAAAGTCTCGTGAGCAAGAGTTTGCAAAACATGCGTAAAGTGAGTTGCTGCTGCATAGAAATACTAGAACATACTTTCACCTAATTCTTTTTAGCTTTAGGTCACGTCGAAGATGATAATTCGCTGTTGTAACATTGTAGATAAATCAGAAAACAAGGCAAACCATGCCATGGGCTCTTGAAACGTTAAAGTGAGCGTCTCTCTCAGCTCAAATATTTCTTCAACACCACAAAGCTGATCAGTGAGATAATTACACAGGTGCTACATGGAGACTGGTTGTCTGTCCCTGGGCTGCTCTACACACACAACTCTTCCATTTTGCTCATAGGTTTTTATTTTTCTTCTATTCTTTAATTATCTTTGGTGCCTCTTTATTAATCATATACTGACCTCTACAGATTAGATTTGGCATTGCATATAAAAAAACCCATCCTGCTGCGTAATCAAGTGGTGCCAGAGGAATCATATACTAGATAATGCTTTATTTTAAATACATGAGTGTTACTGTGTGCAAATGGATATATTTCAATGTACCACCTGTAATAGTTTTGTATGGAAGTTGTAACAAAAAATAAATGAATCTGCTTGTGAAGAAGCAAATTTTCAGTCACATTAGATTTAGAAAATGTCAGAACGTAAACCTCGATTACAAACTATATTAGAAACAGTTAAATACAGCAAAATGTTAGTGCATTATTTAATCAGACATTACCACTTTATAAAATATGTTACACAACTTTAAATGATTGCAAAGATAATGTTGCCTAGCAATATATTAGCTAAAGATTTCAAATTATTAGAGAATATAGTTGCATCAGTCATTAAAAAAGTTATATTTAAGGTCTCATCATGTACAGTATGCCTAATGTGATAATGTGATACTTTATTATATAAACTTAAATAAAATTTTATCAGTCTTGTTGCTTCATAGAAGAATATTGTGTTCAAAATGGAAAGAAGTTCATCATCTGGGTGTATGCATGTGTTTAATACATTTCAAAGCAATCTACCTGAAAAAAAAAACTGTAAAACTGCTTGTGGCCTAAAGATGGGAGTTTTAGTGTTTGGATTGCTGACTGTATATACTATGAACATCACATCACCACTTTACTCCACTGTGCAAGAATGAAGCCAAAATATTATGAACACAGCAGCTGCCATGTTGCTTTTTGCTCCCAGACTCTGTGTAGTAGCGGACGGAAGTGGAGTGACAGCATTGGGCCACCAATCAGAGCAGCCAGATCAACTGAAATGTACCTCTTTTTATATCATCAAATAACATTAAAAACAAACTTACCATTTAAATGATCATTTGCACACACATTAATGTCTTAATATCAACCAGAAATCACAGAAGCAGGTTTTTGTCACGGTCTGGGAGCTCTGTGTTCATTCACCGAGGCTCACTTTGGAGCTGGAACCAAACTGACCGTCCTGGGTAAGAAAACCTAAATCAAACTGAGTGTCTTTCACAGCTTGGTTAAATGTTAGAATGAATCCAAATCTTGGAATCCTGCACTTTCTATTTTATTTGGCCAAAAATCACAGAAGTGACCTTGGTGAAAATTTTATTCATTTGTACTTTGAGTTTCTACTTTGCCCCATGATGCCATCAGACTGTCCATCATATCTACAGTCAGTGGTTTGGATTTATGTGCTGGGGATTTTAAATGTCCACAACAAATTTAAAAGTTATGGCTTTAGGTGTTTTTCAGGCTTTGACTGGCCTGAATATTTTTTCAGGGTAGTGTTCATCAGGGGATTTTGTTCTCTTTACTTCTTTGCTTATTGACTCATAGTTGTCTTTCTCACATAGGAAGCTTTTTATTTATCAAGGCAATTCAGAGAAAGTTAGAACTTTCCTCAAAAATTTGCTGAATTTAGTTCTACAAAGACTCCCTTCTGGGCAGGATGCATGGCATCTACAGTAGATTCATTTTTTTTTTTAAAGGTGGGAACACCTGCATTGGCTATTCATAAAAATGCTTAAATCTTTTTCATTTGAGAATTTTATTGTGGGAATAAAACAGCAAATTAGTTCATTAACACCACCATCAGATCGGCAGTGTGTTTGGATGAACACCTCCTCCTTTTGGTCTTGCAAAGTTAAAACTTAGTTTGGTCTCCACAAAGATAAGAGGACAGTCTGAAAAGATAGCCACATGCTACAGCTCCTGACTGGAGCAAAAGTAAGAGAACAGTCAAAATCCCCAGGGTAGAAATGTTGATCTCACTCTGGTGTGGGACAGAAAAGTTGGTACTGCTACTAGAAACAATCAGAGGATTTTGTTCTGTCTCATCTTTCACTGGAGGTTGTATCAGTTATGACTGGGGGGTGATAAGGAGGTGTGACCAGTAAAGATGTCATTTCCTCTGTGCAGCTACTATGGAAAAAACAATCATTTCTTTTTCTTTGTGCTTCTTTTCTTAGCTGTCACAGAAATAGCAGCAGCCAAGCTATGTGGAGCCCCTCTCAGCTGTCAGTCAGCCCAACCTGCACAGCTGCTCACACAGACATGGGAAGAGAGATGGAGGCTGAGATATGGAGAAGCGGGGTGGGGGAAGGAAAGCCAAGAGAAGCAAAGAGAAGCTGAGTTTTTGTGTAGTGCTTTTACACTGTGGGACAGGGGGGGCACGGTGATACAATCCAATAGAGCCGCTGTACAAAAACCTCCACCAGTTCACATGCTTAGTGTGGAGCTCCACAAGGCACCCGAGACACCTGGCAAAAATAAAATCATCATCGCATTTTAAAAGTACAGCATGTATCACTGCTCTGGCACTGTGGGGAAACTAAACTGCAGTGGGGAAATTTGTTTGGATTAAAATATAGTACAAACCACTGTGAGGATGCAGCTGAAGCCTACTTTGGAAGTGGAACTAAACTAACTGTTCTGGGTAAGTTGGAGCTCAGCAGCTTTGGGTTAGAATGGATTTTTGGCAAAGAAAAGGAACACATAGTCATGAAAACGTTGATTTAGCCTGCACTGGTCCCACACTGGAAACAAGACCCAGGTGAACATTTTGCCTACCATATCAAATTTGGGAAAGGAAAAGGTTATTTTAAATTCTTAGGATACAAAGGAAAAAGCTGAGTTACTGTAATAAGCTCTGTTCTGCAAAGTGCTACAGAAGCGGAGTGTTTCTTTATAAAACTTTCCTCACTGGGTCTTTATATTTGCAGTTCATCTCAGTGCTTTTTGATATCGAGGCAGTGCACTGTGCCAATTATGAAGCCTACTTTGGTACAGGCACAAAACTGACTGTTCTCAGTGAGTAAGACATCAGATTTTCTTCTTATGAATTCACACGTGAAGCAAAATATGCTCTATGTGCACCGCAGTCTCTTTCAGCTGTTGCTGAGGGAAACATTTGTCTCCCATCTTAATAAAAAAACGGGGTGTATTGCTTTTAGGGGAAAGTGATCAAGAAATAAACTGAAAGACTGGCTAGGCACAAAGCTTAACTTGCATCTTTAGCCTGATTTGAGTGCTGGTCAGGTTCACTGTGCTAGTACAGGTTATGAGGCTTACTTTGGTGGAGGAACCAAATTGACTGTTTTAGGTAAGAAATCAGCTTTGACTTCATAAAAATATCATTTAACTGTGGTTTTGTTCATATTTGTTAAGCCTGGATCCGGTGCAAAGAATCATGACTGACACTTTGCAAGTGACAATCAGTGTCGTAACTGTTAACAAACTGGCTCAGATTATCGTGAAAATGTCTCAGCACCGTATATTCATGTTGATATGGTGCCCATTAACAGACAGTGATTTAATTCGGGGCCATGTACACTAGGTTCATCGACAGTGTCCGCATGTCAAAGTATAACAAAGTTGGATAAATTGCTAAGAGAAGCAGTGAGACAGAAGCAGGTTTTTGTCACGGTCTGGGAGCTCTGTGTTCATTCACCGAGGCTCACTTTGGAGCTGGAACCAAACTGACCGTCCTGGGTAAGAAAACCTAAATCAAACTGAGTGTCTTTCACAGCTTGGTTAAATGTTAGAATGAATCCAAATCTTGGAATCCTGCACTTTCTATTTTATTTGGCTTTACACAGTCTACTGTAGTATTCTCCCTTTAAAAAGTAAAATGTGTTCCGCCATAAGTCTGTTTATTTTCAGTCTTCGGTTGTCAGTTCCAACCTGCTCTCCATCAAACTGCTGCAGCATTAAAAGAATTGGCTCCATGCCCAGTTTATTGCTCTGATGGTGAGCTCTTATCAACTCTGTGATCCATTGTTTCTAGTCAGAGGCTTACTCTGGGACTGGAGCCAAACTTACAGTCTTAGGATAAGGCATAAAGTTTTTACAACTGAATTAAAAGTCTAGGTAATATTCTATAAGGTATAATTCTAAGGTAGTTATTTTAATGCAAGGGTCTAATCTACAAGGTACAATGTCAGGTTGTTTTTGCCCTATTTACTAAAATACCCCTTTTTTATATAAAAAAAAAAAGACAGAAAATGTTAAAGTTTGCCATGCAGGCTAGATTTGGAGACACTCCAAGTTTTTTTTCTTCTCTGTGAAGAAAAACAAAAAGCTGTTAACTACAGCTGTTAATGTCAAAATCGTGAACAGTTTTCACTATAGCCGTGTGTCAGTGTGACCGCCTATGAACCTGCTTACTTTGGGAGCGGCACCAAACTAACAGTCTTAGGTAAGAAACTAAAATTATATGTATACATTTGTTGTTATTGGTGAGCATCTTTGAATGTACATTTTATGATTTTTATTTTGTGATGTTAAAAAAAGATATATATGTGTGTGTGAATGAATGCCTTTAAAATGACTTGGAGTCAGGTCGTGTGGCTATATAATGCTGCAGTTAATGGTCCTCAAATAGTGTAAAATCCACTATTATTCTGAAATGTTGTTCACAGGATTTCACTGAACACATACAGTATTTTCTGTTTATTTACTTTAAACCTGTCAAATATGTTTAAAAAGGTAAACACAAAACAACTTAAATGATATTTTAAAAGCATGTAAGTCACTAACCTACTAATATACAGTATTGCTGTGCACATGTTAAGATATTTGTGGAGTAAAATCAGATTTCAGTTACATGCAACATAAAATTATAAATGCTCTGGCACTTTTCCTGCATATCTTGGATAAGGGACCAGTTCCTGGTGAGACAATAGTATAAATAACAGTCGCTCTGAATGCAAGTAGTGTAACCTGTAAGGACCTTGGTGTTAGCGTGTGGCTCCTGCGTTTATTTCAATTCATTCCAACTTTATTTATAAAGCACTAAAAACAACCAAGGTGGACCAAAGTGCTGTACAGTGTAAATAACAATACACATTAAAAATAAACACAACTTACAAGTACAGATAAAATCAACACCAATATAAGATTGAACTCATTTCCAACTCAGTGTGTTGTCTCTGCTCACTGCATGGCAACTTGTCCCAGCCAAGACATAAGTAGTCTGGAACATAAACTGTGTTATAAATGTGTTATTTCTCAGTTGATCAGTTTTCATAGACTGTATTCACTTGTGAGCTGCAGAGGTCTGCTCCAGTCTTTGTGATAAGATAACTGGCTACTGACTCCAGCTACATATTTACTGTACAGAAATGGGAATGCAACAGTCTTTTCATGCAACGTCTAGCAAAATTATATAACTATTCTAATGATTGGTTTCCTTCGTCCGTGCAGAACCAAACCGAACTATAAGCCTGCCGAAGGTGAGAGTGCTTGAACCTGCACAAAATGAGTGTCAAAACAGCATGGACAAGAAAAACAAAAAGACCCTGGTGTGTATGGCCTTTGGTTTCTACCCAGACCATGTGAGTATGTCCTGGCAGATGAGCGGAGAAACCATCACAGATGGCGTGGCAACCGACAGTGCTGCCCTGTGGGACGGGAACCATTACCGCATCACAAGCAGGCTGAGGGTCTCGCTCAGACACTGGATCACACCCAGCAGGAACTTCAGCTGCACCATCAGCTTCTTCAATGGGACAGCCACTGTGAACACAACAAAGTGGTTGGAAAGCATTGAAGGTTTGTTTAGCTGCAAATGAGAACCTAAATGCATTTTCAGTTATAAGGAACTCCAAAGTAATGACTGCACTGATTAAACCTTTCTTTTCCTGCCAGGCCCAGGAGCTGCAACTAAAAGAGGTAAATATAGCTTTGTTTGAACCCGTCCAGCTCAGAACATCACAACTATGGAAAGGTGTCACTCAGTGAAATGTCGCCATTTGTTGCAGGGAAATATCTGAGGATCACGCACACCGCCAAACTGTCCTATGCTGCTTTCATCGCCAAGAGCAGCATCTTTGGAGCCTTTGTGGTGCTTCTAGTGTGGAGGCTTCAGGTCAGACCAGTATCATACTGTGCATTCTGTATGAGTTGTGTCTCTGTACCACTGCATCCATATGAAAGTGTCCTACCTGTAGGAAGTGGTTTAAAATAAGGAGCCAGTGTAGATCGAATAGTACATGTAGTGTGTTCTTTCTTTGTCGATGTTACCTGTGAATATAAAGCAAATAAGTTCACTAACACATAAATGAGATATGAAATTTATAACATATAAATGTAACTTTAAGAGACATATTCATGAAGCTGAGAGACAAAAGATTATTATTGACTGAATTTCTTTTTATTTTACATTATATGTCTGTTTGTTTTTCCAGTATCACAAGGGAGGAATCATATTTAGGGTTTCTAAGTTAAATTTAGGACATTTAATACCTTAAAAAATCTAAAATATAATATAATACTAGTTTCATTCTAGACAAAGCATGAAAGATATAAATGAAAATCAATAGGGATGACATGACCAAAAATTGTCAGTGAATTTATTGATTACATTATAGTTAATTGTTAAAATCAGAAAATCAATTACTGATTGATTAATAGTCTTTTCAGAAATTGCTTAGTGTAAGTTCATAATCAGAACTGAAGGAGACTCATCAACAAGCCAATCCAGTACCTTTCAAATTTGCTGTGCAAAAGATGATTTTATTTCCTTTATGCAGGATAATTATAATAATAATCACTGATGGTGTGACTATAAAAATGACTCACTCAGCCATTTTAGCAGTATAAATTGCCGTCACCTTCACATCATGTGAATAAAATACATTTCTGAAAAGGGGCTTTGGTGAAGTAGGTGGAAGTTCTGGAAAAAAATAATATAAAGCAGCTGTTTTTTCCCCAGTAACTGAAATTGTCTTTCTCTGTTTGTTGCGCAGGCCTCATCTGAAAAACACAGCACCTGAGAGTTGAGCTGAACCACACAGTCGGTCCTCCTGGTTTCTGGAGATAAATAAAAATTATGTATGCTGTGTATTTGCTTTCAATCATCCAATAATATCCAGCACAAATTAGAGGACGGTGCTGGATTTAAAAGCATCTGGATAATATAGCCAACACTGACACATTAATAATGCTGTATGTTCATGTAAGTGCTTGTGACCTGCTTCATGCTGGATTTTTTTTTTTTTTTCAAAATAAAAGTTTGTCAGAAAAGCTATGTGGCATCATTTTTTTAAGTTAAGACAATGCTACCTGTCAAAAGTTGGAAGCACATGTTACTTACTGGTACTGTAGGCCTACACTGCATATTATACTCTTCCCACCTGTGAGGTTTTGTCAGTTTCCATACATATATGAACACATCTTGCACATATCTCACCCTACATGGCATCACAGACTCACTGCAGGGTGTTTTTTTAGCTGCTTGCTTGTCTGTTGGTTTTCTGAGAAGTCAACCTCTTCTTTCTGATATATGTTTCCATTCACTGCTCTACGCCCCAGTCGCACAAACTCACAATGAGATTTTCCACTGAGAAAATGACACCTCTGATACCATCTAACTGCTCAAATAAATTCAATCTCCTTACATAAAACAGCTTTACATTCAGTGGAACATATTCAAGTGAGATCTAGTTTTTCCGTTGTGCACATACTGTTACATAGCAAGACTGATAAATGTCTTCTTTGTGAGTAAGGCTACGGCATATTCCTTCAGTTTGAAGGAGTGAATGTTGAAATGTGAGTCAACCACAGCCCAGAACAACAGGAAATCACTTGTCATTTGAGTGCAGGCAAAGGTTGAGGCTGTTGTCGGTGAGGAGTAGACCGGGTCACAAAAGCCAGCAGAGGGGCTGAGCACGACAACAGTGGAGAGGATGTGGTCACAGAGCCAAGTGCGGGTCGCACTGTGTGCTGAGAAACAGCGGAGGCGCAGACTTCCACTTCACCACAACACTTGCAAACAGCACTTGCATCTGTGCAACAACCCCCCATAACACACAGGTCTGCAACAAGCAAGCTGCTTCTGTGTCAACTGAAGCTACGGTGTGATCCAGCAGCTGTTCAGTGTGATCTGCTGCAGCAGTCTGAACATAAGAATGTAACAGTTTAAAATGTGTCCCACTGCAATCGCACAAGTCTATCGACATTACCAGACAGAGAAAAAGCAACTATCAATATGCATGTACCCCCTCGACCCTATTCAGGAATAAGCTATATAGATAATGGATGGATGGATGTGTGTATGCTTTTTAATTTCAACCAACCACACAGTTAGTAATTACAGTATGACTCTACAAAATTGTGCAGGTGCCTATTTATGATGATAAAAATGTATATTTTTCTCCATTTAAGTGAAATAAAAACATTTTAATTACACATTTTATCTAGAGAAAAGCTATGTATAATGAAATAAACTATTTAGATAGCTATATAGATAGATAGATAAATAGATAGATAGATAGATAGATAGATGCGTGATTATGTGTATAAATAAACTGTAGTAGTGTAAATTTACATATAAATATATAGTTTATAATTGCTATAAGGTCACCACAACAGCACACGTTAAGAGCATTTTTATTCTGCTAACCTGCAGGAAAAGGTTTCGTTCTGAGTACTTCATCGGGTCGACAGTGTGTTCTACCAAATATACAGGAAGACCATTACAGTGTTTAAGATTATAAGAGAATAAGTAGAATTTTTTTGACCTATTAATTTAAGCCCGAAGCCTGTTTGGGGGATTTAACTCGACGGCACCTCCCCGAAATCAAATGTGTATATCTCCGCAACCACACGGTGTATTTGGTTACTCTTGGTGTCAAACGAAAGGGAACACTTGTGAGATTTGTCAGGAGGTGTAAATACCATTCTATGTTTTGTTGTTGAAGAGTAAATAAAGATGGAACACGGCACAGTTAGAGCTGACCATCTCCTCGTATGCATGACAATAGCTTGGTCCCAGATTTCCGCACACAGACAAATGACCCCTCATTGGATTCCTCTCGACCAATAGAATGAGGCTATCGAGTTTGTGACGTGATTGAAATAATCGTGGACCAATGGCAGTCGAAAAGACTGCACCATAAGGGCAGGGGGGGTTTCTGGCCAGCACCAATGTAAGCCTCTTTCTATCCAGCTAGAACCCCCCTAACTTAGAAATAATGATATTTTCCAAACAGACGCCATCTTTTGAGTCAGGAAATGCAGTGTTTGCTTCAGAAGGCGCGGCAGTATCAGTTCGAAATAGTTCCTGTGTCGGTCACGTGACTTTCTTAAAGCGATACGCGCACCGACACGGGGTTTTGCTCTACGAGCTCGACGCATGTGGCGACGCATAGGTGTTACCGGACCCATCACTAATAAAAAAAAGTTTAACAGGCCCATAATCAGAAACAGTTGTCTTCAGTCAAACTTGGTGTTTTTCTTTGTCAGCTCTTACATAACCTATGAATAGTGGGAAACAAAACGGTTTATTTTTTATGTGTTTGTTTGTTTTGCTTTTGGTTTGTTTGTTTTTTTATAAGAGGTGGCATGTCTTAATGGAATTCCTCTGTATGCTACTGTATTTACATCCTGCAGAGATATGAACATGATCAGTGATCTCCATCTGCTGGACAGTCAGCGTTCCTACCTGCTGGTGCACAGCTGGATGCTGAGCTCTAAATTCTAAATCAGCACAGACTACTGTTTTAGGCCAAAAAAGGAGGACAAAAACAAACCTGGTGGACAAAAACAAAGTGGCAGACAAATTTCCAAGCAACATCCATCATCAGTGAGACCTGCATATTTGATCAGAGCCATGGAGGTTGTGGGTGGTTTTATACTGCCGCTGCAGGATTAAACTCCTGGTTTAAGGTAAGACAGTTCATACTGTTGTAGGCAAATAATTGCTAATACTGTATGTTAGCAACTACAAATTTAAAAGCAACTGTGTGTCATTTAGCATGTTTTAGAGCTCTGCTGCTGCCTAGTGCCTGAAAATAAATGAATGCAGTTACTGTAACCAAGCCTTGTTGCACTAAATACAGTTGTAAGTACTTTACTATGCAAGAGCCATAGACGCTTGAGTTCGGCTGTAGGATGACGAACTGTTCAGTTATTTTAGGAGTGGGGTTTATGTTCACAGGTATAATTCCAAAATGACCCTCCAAATTTATAAGCCTGTAAATAGAAGTATCAGCAATCTGGAACTCCTGCAGGGCCAATGTGAAGATGACTGGGTGAATGGACCTGCCATTAAAAATTAAAATGGAAGATTAAAAAAATTGCAGAGAAACTGTTTTACTGAGTTTTAAAAAGGAAGAGACACATCAATAAAAGTGTATGCACAGTGAATATTCCGCAGGTTCCTGTAACTTTGCTGTGATTAATCCAGGAGGACACAGAGTAGCAGCAGGGAGACAGCCACACTGGACAAAGTGACACTCCGGCCTGCACAGCCACACAACATGTCCTTATTCTGGCCCAGGCTGGGAGGTAGACAGGAGATGACAGAGCCATATTTCCCTCCCAGCATGGATGCACCCTGACTGGCCAGCAGGAAGTCAGAGAAAGTGATGGTTTTGGATGGTACTGTTTAGCTCATTTTTGTTGTCTAGTATTATCTAATTTAACTGTCTTGACCATGACAAACTCAGTCTCTAGTTAAGATTTTCTTTAATCAATTTTAGTTTAGTGCAGTTGGGTTTATTTATTTAGTATAAACTATTCCACTTTGTCTTCTCTTAGCTTGTCTTTAGTTACATTACTGGGAATAATGACACTGCTGTTCCCAAAGGTGAAATGTTAATCATTCCAACTTAAGTTCAGTTAATTTTATACTTATCTGGTTTAATTTAGTTTAGGTTGTCTTGCTAGGTTTACTGTCAACCCTGTGAAAGACTGGCGACCTGTCCGGGGTGTACCCTGTCTCTCGCCCAATGACTGGGTCAAACAGGACATCTCTCAGCTGACCCTGGTAGGCAACAAAGAAAGACCACCACCCCAGAAACCCACATTCATATCTCAAGTTAACTGTAAAAAGGCTCCATCATTTTTTCTGGTTAATTCCATGTCAGGTTCATTTTACATTAAGTTGAACATGTTTCTAATTGTGTATATACACACACGACGTGTGCTTACAGTCACACATCAATCATACTGTTAAACTGTCACGTGTGCTTTCCTTCTCTCTCATGCACACACACTTTCACACACATACACACTACCTTGCTGTCTGAAGGAGGACGGGTGGAGAGAGTCAGGAGGAAGTTGGTTATGTTATATCAGTATTGAGCAGGTTAAGGGCGCAGGTCAGGAGTCAGTTCACTCACTGGTTCCACTGGACCTGCTAGGACCAAACTTGTTAGACGTAACACTGTCACAATACCAACAAAAGCATCTCTGACAAAGAAAAGCAAAAATTGTAACAAGATGTTTGTAACCTTTATAACTTTGTGACAAAATGCAAATCAAGGACAAGAAACAACAGGTAGGCAGACAGACAGACAGGTACAGTCGCTGACTGTGACTCATCTTCCTCCTGAGAGCCCAACAGTGCAGACACATGCTGCCGGGCTTCTGTTCGAGTGTCTCTGTGCCCAGCAGGCAAAGTCCACCTGCTGCTGTTTTGTTACAAAATCTGTTTGACTAACTCCCACCATATGCCCACTGCACATACACGCACAGACTCAGACTCATTTCACAGACCTCGAGGTGTGTTTCCAGCAAGTTCACAAAGGCTCGGAGGTGTCCCGTTTCAAAATCAGCTTCTTCAGTGGTGTTTTTAGCCCTTTGCACCCACTTTCCTAAGTCTGCAGTGCTGCTTATATTGTTCAAAACTATAATGATTAAGATCAGATTAGATTATAATCAGTAGATTATATTAGAGTAGCAGGTATTCAGTGTTTTCCAATCTGCAATTGTACATCTGAATAGTAGTTTTCATTATTAATGGCCTTTCCCAGATTCGGATTCTATACCCATGTGAACTGGATTCTGTAACACTTTTAGGAAGTCAACCCAAAGTAGATTCAAGACGAGTAGATTCAGGGAAACAGTGTTTACCTAGTCAAGCAGCAGGCTTAGAGCAGATTACTAAGGTCAGTGTAAATCACCAGGCAGAATGAACCCTTAGATGCACACGTGGGGTCAAAAATGACCCCACGGGTTGTTATTCTTCAAAATCTTTAAAACGAAAAGTTGTAATATATTTATATTCCAGGTATTCCTCATAAAACATGTTTGTGACATGAGGCCATTTGCATTTTTATTTATTTTTTCATTAATTTTAAGAAATTGCAGTTTTTGTATCACTACCCCACTCTTCCACAAGTGGGGTCAAAAATGACCCCAAGCAGTTCCTATGGAATCTTCTATGAACCTTTAATTCTTAGCAACTCTGACTGTCCCACTTACACATCTGATGTCATCTCTCACATCTGATGCAACTTTGACTGTCAATACTGTCCCACTTACACATCTGATGTCAGCAGTCTCACCACCCAGGAGGTCATTTTTACACAGCAACATACTGTATGTCAATTCGAAAAGTTGAAGATATTCGCCGTTTCTTGCGCTTTGATGACAAGAGGACCAGAGCCTACCGACTGAAAACTGACCACATGGCAGCTTTCCGCTACATATGGGACCTGTTCCTGGTCAACTGCAGGCAGAAATTCATCCCCAGTGATTGTGTTACAGTGGATGAACAACTTGTGCCTTTCAGAGGGAGGACCCAGCTTCTGCAGTATATGCCGAGCAAGCCCGCCAAGTACGGCATAAAGATCTTCTGGGTTTGTGATGCACGCACCCCATATGCA